ATCTCTTTTACTTCAATGTTACTCCCTCTTTGTCCATGTCCATGTCCAACCTTTACTTCTTTGTCTCAATCTGTCCCAAAGCTTTCATATCTTTGTATAATCTCTCCCCTTTATCATCAATTTCCATAAAAGGTGTGCTTCTCATTGATGCAAAATGTTGCATTGGGGTAGATGGTTGAGGCTTAAATCTTGCATTTTTATGGGCATTTCTTGATTGTTGGAATGACACCACTTGTAGATACCACTTGTAGGGCTTCTTGAGATACCACACATAGGATCTTTGATCTTGATACTAATATGTGGGACACCTCCCCCTAAGTCATTTCATGGGTCATCCATTTGATAAACTTGAGCTCTTGTAGGTGAGGGATGCATTCTTCATTTGATGATCACTTAAAGTTGAAGATCACTTGTGGAACCATCGTCTTGCATGATTAATACCACGTGTAGATGTGATACCACCTAAAAGAATTTTCTAGCATAGAACCACTTATTAGATTTGTCAATTTTTGACCATTTCTTGAACATTTGCTATCTTCATGAGTACCACTTATAGGATATCACTTGTGAGTTGATCTAGACATTACTTGTGAATTCTTGATTAAATACTTGAGTCTAGATACCACTTAAAACAAACAAACTAGATATCCATTTGCATTGTTGTCTTATGCTTGTACTCTTGTTATTTATCATGAGCTTCTAAGTTGACTTGAACTAAATTGATTTGCCTAAGCTTCCAAGTCTGGTTTGAACCCTCTCTAAGCTTCTTCACACTCATTTAGAGGTTATCTTATTGAGGTTGTACTTGTCACTTTTTGGCAATCCAAATTAAATCAAGTACTTGGGTTCACTAGCTCATGAACAAAATTCATATACTAACCACTAGATCAATTAATCATTCAAGCAATAGTGGTAAGCTATGAATTAAAAACTTTCATTTGTTACGCATGATCCAATGAAGTATGAACTATATGCACTAACCGCATACTAGTAAGGGATGAAATGATCATGCACATTACAATGATACCTTTGCTATGTTGGAGAAAGGATAGTCACATAGATTCCAATTCATTATTCCAATAGCAATGTGAAGTCCAATTATTAGCTTGGTGAAGACCAATAGATACCATTTTGAATTCCATTCTTCACCCATATGAAATGAATACCACTTATGATCAAGTGCACTTTCTTGTTGTGGTTGACTTGCTTCATCTTTTGATCAATGCTTGCATGAGAGCATCAAAGTGAGAATACCACTTGAAATAACATGATTAGCTCTCTTTTGGCTGTTGCTTGCTTTTCTTGATCAACCCTTTTGGTTGCTTCAACTAAGCATCTCAAATGTCCCTCAGATCACCACTTCCATGTTAGCCTTCAAGTACCATACTTGGTTTACCTACACATAGGCGGCAAGCCCCTACACTAGGGAGAAGTGACATCTCTCCAAGAACCATTCTTGACACTCACTTGAAATAACTTGAGTGATTGATCCAAGTGATGGACTTAACTTGATGAGTAACCTTGATTCCTTCTCAAAGTCCTTTTCTTTCTACCAAATGATTTTAAATAGTTACTAGAACTTAAACTTCATCTTCATCTTGAGCTTGGTCTTGATCTTCAATTTGAGTACCAAATATGTGCAAAGTACACTCCACAATCAAATGGACTTGTACTCTTTGCTTGTCATGCTTATAGATCATCTCAAAACCAAACTTAGGTGCCTCAATTACTTATAAACATGTTTTCAACTTGAGGACCTTTCAATCAAAGTGACTCTAGACTAATCCAATATTTGTCACTTTTTTAGTAGATTTTGTACTCTTCAAATAAAAATGCATATCTCCCAAAGTACAAATCCAAATGCCAAGAAATTTGGTAGAGATGTGCTTCAAGAAGTCATCTTGCAGATGTAAAAATTTGAGCTTCATTTGATCTCAAATGAGCTGCCAGGAATCAGATCTTCCACCACTGCTACATACTAAAAACTGATGCACTATAGCTGACAAGATTCACTCCAAAACCAAAGCATCTCTTATCCAATTCTCATGAAATTTGTACAGCATCTTATACCATAAGTATAGAGCATGTGAACCAATTTTTATGACAATACAATAAGTTTAGTAACTCAAACATGGCTAAGATCACAGCTCACTCAGATTTTCAATATAGGATAGATTTCAATCACTTGAGCTATACTTCATCAAATGTGAATCAAACTTGAAACTAACTTGTTTGAATACTTTCACAAGATATAAATCCATTCAATCCACTTACTAAATATCATCTTATGAACTTATCCAACACAAATCAATCCAAACTTGATTACTAAGCTATTTATCCATTCAAACATCTCATAGCAAGCAACATTGCATATTTATCCAATTCAATCAACTCATATGCACCCAAATGAAATGATCAACAAGAGATATACCTTGGTTAGCTCATGATCATCCAACTAGCAAGCTTTGACTCAAATAATTTTTCAAGCCATCAAATAATCCAATAAATTACCAACAACTTGAGTTATAGCACTTGTATGATGTAGCACATTTGGACTTCACTCAATTATCATGGCATTGGGTTTGGATATGCACTAGGCTTCATATCTTGACTCAACATATGATGATCAATATCAATTGAATCAAGCCTCCAAAGCCATGGTACCTACAATCCATCATCCACTTTTTGATGGTACCCAAACAATTTTGGGTCCTCTCAAGTTAGGAGCAACATACTTAGGCAAAGCCTTAGTATGAGTAGCATGATGTTTTGCAATAGCAACCATAGAGGTACCATTACCATCCTTCCTAAGCATAGAATCATCATCAATTAAAATAGGCTTGAGTGTTACCTAGGGGACATGAATGTGCCATGTGTCCCCTTTCCCGGCATGAGTAGCACTTTCTCTTTGATTAAGCCTTCTCTTCCTTGCTCATGTGGTGCTTCCCATTGCCTTGCGTCTTCTCTTTTGCTTGAATCTTCTTCTCAAGCTTGGTGGAACACTTCGAGGCAAAGTATCCCATATCTTTACACTTGAAGCACTTGATGTGAGCATACACCTTCTTCTCATCTTGGGTCTTGCTCATCATCTTGGCATCTTGATTAGAAGTTGGATGCCTTGCTTTTCCACCCCTTCTAGTTTTCTTCTTCTTCGTCATCAAGTCACCTCCATCTTCATGATAGATTTTGACTTGCTCTTGGGGTGTCTTCTCTTGCTCAACTTATGGCTTTGGTTGAGGCACTACTAAATTTTGACCCTGTTGCACCGGCCAATTTTTGATGTTATAGGTCTAAAATAGATGCAATAGTTCGGTGTCGCATCAATTTCTCGTTTGATGCCAGCCGATGCAAGTGGTCTTGATGCAATAGCCTTTCGCATTGGTTACTTGTGGTTGATGCGAGAAGCAGCTATTGCATCGTTCGTCCATTGTCTATTGCATCAAAATTGAGAGATGCAATAGCTTGTTGCATCCAAATCATGTTGATGCAATACATCTATTGCAACGGCCAACGTTCGGTGCAATAGACTATATTGCATCGATATTAGGTTCGATGCAATAGAACCTATTGCATCACCATTTTGGTTCGATGCAATACGAACTATTGCATCGAGTTTATGTTTGATGCAATATTGCATCGAGTTTATGTTTGATGCAATTCGAACTATTGCATCGAGTTTATGTTTGATGCAATTCGAACTATTGCATCAACACGAGGTTGGATGCAATACAAACTATTACATCGACATGAGGTTGGATGCAAGAGGTTCTATTGCATCACCATTTTGGTTCGCTGCAATACGAACTATTGCATCGACATGAGATTGGGAGGACAACCAATTATTGCATCGGATTCATTGCACAGAAATTTATAAAATTACAAAATTCAATGGCACAAAAAGGCAATCATATTAATAACTTGGATCATAAGCATTCAATAATTTGTACAATGTGAGGAAGTCAAATGCCTTCCTATTTCCAAATAGGTAATTGCAAAGTTGAACTGCATTACAAACCACTAACTTATGCTACAAATAGGCAATCATAAACAAAAATTCATATCTCTTAGCACAGATCAACATGATATCTTTCTCGTTGCACAATATTAGATTCATTTCAGCTTGCCAAGACTCCCTCAAGGTTGATCTTCCTGAAAAAGTCAAAATGACATGCATTAGTAATATATACAGTTGATCACACAGTTGGAATCAAACATAGACAGCATGGTAGATGCTAATCAAGGTTTTACTCATGCTTACATGAGAACAGGGGAGTTGATTAACATTGGACACTTTCTGCAAGTTTGAGCATAAAGAGCATAACACTAGAATCCAGTAAGACCATCTAGGGAATAAAATCAAGACTTGCAAAATCCTAATGATTGCGCAGTACCATCCACCAAACATCGCTTATTCATTGCAAAGTAGCATCACTAAAATGAAGTCCTCAAAGACTAGTAGCAAACATAGGCACGGGGACCAATCCAACCGGGTCATGGCACTACTAGAACTCACCAATCCCACCGTGTGTGAAAGCAACACTCTACAAAGACAGACTTGACAATCGCTCGGCTAAAGTCGTTCACTATCTAATCAAAATTGGAATGCTAGCAGGAGCAGCAGACAAGGACATGTTTAACTTTTACATGCTCTCGCTGCAAAAACTTATCAAGTTTCATGTATTTCTTTGCAAAATTTACAGCAGAGCAGCAAGGGACACATGATTCATGTATAAGTGAACAAAGTTCATGTTAATAATTTGGACAACAACTTAAAATGACACCTGATTCATGTATAAGATTTTGAGCTCATACCTTTCCTCATTTATTTCTCAAAACTCGCTTTTTACTTGCAGCATTATTCCTCGGTGTATGTGAAGTAATAAACTTCAAAGACTCATTACTTGCCTTTGTCATTTGGGAAAGTGATCTGTTGGCATTGCATGCGAGTGAGGCGACTAGGTTGGATACTCATCTTATTGCTCACTAATTCACTTTGTCTTCTACAATCTGCAAAAACAAGAAGATTTGAAGGAGCAATCACCACTTAGCAATTCTAAGAATCATTAAAGTACAGTGATATTTTTAAAGTATATTACCTTTTGCACTTGTTCGGTCCTTGGCTAGGAGTGGGAACAACAAAGAGGCCCATTAGAAGGTGCATTATGTATGCCCAAATAGCAGATTCTTTACCAGCCTTCATTTTAAAAAAAAGATGCACACATTACCTCAAGATTAAATGTAGGTATCCTTTTCATTACATTACTGATTTTCATTTATCAAAAAATAGTACACATGCTGAATTTGCAACTTCATTTGCACTAACAACAGCCATCGTATTTAAAAAAAGATTCACACATTATGTCGATTAAATGTAGGTATCCATTACATTGCGGTTTGCATTCATCAAAAAAATAATACATGTGCTAAATCTGCACCTTCATTTCCACTAACCATATTTTCAATACCAGTAGCATTGGTTGTGAATTCAAGGATGAGTGGCTATTTCTGCAGGTGAGGGCTTTTGTGGTTGGTGCAAAAGATTCTAGCATTGGAGTTATAAGGAGAAACATTAGCAATCAAGCTTTACTAAAAACAATGATGTTGGTAACAATTAAGAAGTAGTATTAGTACCAAAGGCGTTGCTTGATTACATTGTTTGATTAGTGCAAAAAACTCTTACCTTAATTCTTCTCTAATCTTGCTACTTGTACTCTCCGAGTTGATGTTGCAAATGCTGAATTTTTTCTTGTCGCTCTCCCTCTCAAATGGCTTGAATGGTAAGTCGTTCTTTTAACTTGTCTACCTCAGCTTGCATCTCAATATTCTTCTGTTGGGCTGCTTTGCTGCTAATGCAGATGCACGAGCCCTGCTCTTCATTTCGTTCATTCATAAGTTGGCTTGGGTCGGATACTTTGCCATGTATCCATGTCCGGACCTTTCCTGCTCCTGCATCTAGTGGTTTCCTTGTAGGTTTCATGAAGAATGTGCCTTTCTTGTTCTTTTGAAATCACAGAAGCTTCCAACTCAATTCTCTCTGCAACTTTGGAGAAGGCGCTTTCCTAAATTTAAGAACACAATTAGTGTATTCAACTTTAGCAAGTAGCAACAGCAGTTCCAATTCAAGTATAATAAGAATTAGGTAAAATGGATACTTCAGAGATATGTATGACATTGGAGATAAATGAATAAAACATGTTATGAGAAAGCAATGGACAGTTGAACGCTAGCATTTCAGAGATATGTATGACATTAGAGATAAATGAATAAAACATGTTATGAGAACATACATCACTGGACACTCGTTTTACCAAGTAGCCCAGCTCTATTCAAATCACTTTAAAGAACATAACTTAACTACATAAAGCATAAGTACGATATTAGGTACATGAGATGAGTCTACATATTAGGTTGTTGGAAATGACAAGGCAAGTAAATGGATGAAGACAACAATAGTAACCATGATAGAAACACGTTGAATTCGAAAAGCTAAACAAAACTACAAGCTGATGACATGACCGGACGCGCAGCTGCACACGACCGGACGCGCTGGTCACAACAATACAAGCTGAAACAGTACATCAGCAGAAAATAGCCGTTTGAGCTGACCGGACGCGCATGTGCATCAGGTCACTCATCACCGGACACGTCCGCTCAGCAAAAACCCTCTCTGGTCACCCTCTGTTCATGACCGGACTCCAAGTCTCGGTGCGTCCGGTCATGCACTCTCTTCAGCGTCCGGTCGAAAAATGGACCACAGCCACTCTGCAACACTGACCGGATGCGGAAACTGTGTGTCCGGTCCAGCGTCCGGTCGCACTTGACACTCAACAATGCTCTACAAAAATTACATCAGCTAACATATGCTACCAGGAGACCACAGAAAAAGTTTGGAAGCATTTGGCTCATCCTAACTTGCTATACCAAAAAGAACAGGTGGCACAGGTGAAAACTGAAAATAGCATAAAGATAGAATTGCCAAACCGAACACAAGGACAAGGAGACTGGTGACCTTTTATCACCCAATCAGGGCATGTACAACCATCAATATAATAATTATGTTATATATAATTGCAACATCACTAAGTACTAATGAACAAAGTAGCACTTACATATATTTCCTTAGCAGCATCAGAAGACCATCGACCCTCCTTGGTGCGTGTACTCCTCCAAAATGTCAAACCATCTGGCTCTTCACTAGTCTCCAGGTTTCTCTAAGATGTGAAAATTGAACATTGTTACTGTTTAGATAAAAAATAAAATAAGAAGATTAGGTTCCATATCATTACCTGCTCAAAACTAACTTGTGAAAAAGGTTTTGATCCTGTAAGATGTATTGTCTGTCGATGTTGGGAATTGCTAGAGTTTGTGGTGCTCATTCACTAATATAAACACAGATATGTTAGTTGCACTACAAAATACAGACAATAAACACATATATGTCAGAGGCTTGGAGCCTGGAATTTTTCACTTCCAAAATACAACACCAAGTAGTGCCACTCCACAATGTCCAAATCATCTGGCTTATGTTTCATTCTTTCATGATAACTGTTGTATGCCTTGTATGTGGCACTGAATTGAGCTCGCCATCCTTTGTAACGATACTTTGCAATCTTCCATATCCTAGCCTTCTCTTCATCATTGTTTTCAATGTTCCACCTAACCTGTAGAAAGGGGATGACCAACAAATTGTGAACAATTAAGATATTACAAAGAATTAATTTAGCATATGAGGGAGCAAGACTGTAACGTACCATTATATCTTGCGCTATTTTATCTTTAACAATGTGCTTGACATCTCCTCACTTTTTAACTCCAATAAGTGGAGTCCTTTTTCTTGTAAACCGAACTATTTCATCAACAAATGAGCGATAGTTATCTCCTATAGGACCGCCTTTTGTGGATAAGAAATCTATATTAAGTTTCTCAGTGCTAAGTTTAAATCTCTTAGCTTCGACCGATAAACCTTTCAAGGTTCCTCGCCCAATCTTTCTCTTGTCGCCAACCCCTACTGTAAAATTGATGTTACAAAATGGAACGTATGTTAACATTATAAATCAGCATTTTTATGTTATAGTAATGTATGAACACTTTGAACCATTGCATACCTTTCTAAGAGACCTTTGGCCTATGAGCATGAGCTGGAAACTACATTGGTGCTGCGCTATTGTCACCACTTCCATCTTCTTCAATGGTTTCATCATCTAAATATGCATCTGCACATACAAAAAAGTGAAAGTACACAGTTACAATGGAGTTGGAAATATATGTATATATTAAGGCTTCCACTAATGCCAAGATAAAACAAAATCAGATTACATATATCTTTAAGAAGCCCTTCCCTCCTCAACCATTCTTTATATGTTGCAACAGTATTCAGCCGGGTGTCATCCTTAAATTCTGCAAGATGCATATATAGATGTTATATATATAGTGTAAGTTTGAGAACTGTACCTAAAAATCATTGAGATGTATTTTTCTAGTACATTAGTACCTGGGTTGTTTTCATCCTGTGGCAGCTTATTGAGCCACACCTTGTACGCATCAATGTCTTCATCCTGAATTCCTTGTCCACTAACTTCCTCATGTGTACTACGTTGCTTAATCGGTGTGATTGCATATTCTCCTTCCTGATCTAGCTGAGTGTCTAAAACTGCTATCCTAATTTTCTTCTCTTGTATACAATCTTCTATCATTGCTAATGCATCTTCTTCGTAATCTATACGCTGCAGCAAAGCTGTATCGTTGCCACATCTCTTCATATAGTACATGAAGTCCCTCGCAGAATAACCCATCTTAACTTTGAACTTCAATAAGTTGGCAAAGGTAATTTTAGCACGGTCAAGGTCCAATATGGCACGTTTCTGGTCCTGGGGTCCCCCCAAGAAATCAATAAGTACTTGCCACATATCTCCTGTTTTCTAGAATGTTTTCCTACAATTGTCAGGAAATAAATTAATTGATGCACATGTATACTTGTTAAATGAATAAACAATGTACTCATACTCAAATAGCATATATGGATGTTCAAGCTACGTAGTGTATGCCAGTAGTTAGACCAATGACAGGAACAATGTGCCAAATGTCAAAATTTAGTGGATAGCATTTTGTCAATGTCAAAATTTGTTAGCTGCAAGTGCTATGTGCCTACAATAACTTATAAGGGTAATAAAATGATAGTACATGATTTTGTATTAGAACAATAAACCATTTTCGAATTCACTTAGGCATTTTTTCTCTTTGTATCATTGTTCGTGGTGGGGCGCCCTCGGCTGCAAGTGTCGTCACGGTGGTATTCGTCGCTATATTTGAGTTCCACGATGAGAACCTAGCTCACTCCAAGTCTTGGTGCGTCGGTAGCGGCAGCATCTAGGGCTGGGGATGAAGCAACGGTAACAGGGCACCAACATAGTCTTGCTGCCGAGTCGACTAGGGGTGCTTGTCGCCAAGGGCGGATCTAGGATAGGAATCAAGGGGGGCTAAATAGTGAAGATTTTGGGCTAAAGATAAATGGTGATTTGAGGCTAAACAATGGTTATTTACTGGAGAAATGAGGATCAAAGGGGGGGCTACAGCCCCCCTAGCTGGACATGATCGGTATGACGCCCATGTTGTGAGATCTCGAAGGATGCATCAAGTTCACTACACGATCGGAAACTCGGTGACATATGACAATTAGGTACTAGCTGGACATGATCGGAAACTTGGTGACACATGACGTGGTAGTACATGAGATGAGTCTACATATTAGGTTGTTGGAAATGACAGGGCAAGTAAATGGATGACGACAACAATATATAGTAACCACGATAGAAATTGTTTTCAAAATTTTATAAATGTTGTTGGAATGTTGAATTTAAAAAGATAAACATAAATTGTTAAAAAAACACGTTGAATTCGAAAAGTTAAACAAAAATTGTTAAAAAACACATTGATTTTGAAAAGGTAAAAAAAATGTAGGAGAAAAGCACAAAAGTAAAAATGAGAAGTCTAATAAGTGAATTGTTAATTATTTTAAAAAATAACAAATAATGTGAGGGGCAAAGGAGTCGAACCTGTGCCCTTACGATTGTCCAGGTCGTGGACAAACCACTAGACTAGTTGCATGCTGTTGCATGGACTAGTATTTTTATTCTTTTATACTATTATCTAATCATGTTTTGACTTGCATGTATTTACGTAAGAGATCTGTTTTGTCCATGCAGGAGACCAGGGGACGCCAGCACTAGGAGGTACGTCTTGTATCCTCCCGTGACCCTTGGAGGCGCACGTCCTCCTGCTACAAATCAAAGGTGATGCATCCTCCCTGCTGCCGATCAATCTTAGGGCTCAGATCGGATCAGAGTTCCCTTGAATTCTCAATTCTAATTGTGGTGCTTCATTCTCAGTTCTAATCGTGGTGGTTCATGTACCAGGCGTGGAAGGAATTTTAGGGTTTGGAGTGCATCTCATTGTAAGCCGATCCCTCACTATCTTTGATCCTTCATCTAATATTACTATTGGTTTGTGTTTCGCTGATAAACTACATTTGATCATCCACCTCAATTATGTTTTTGGTCAACACAATCGCCATGAGATTTGTCCAATTTTTTGTGACACAATGGGGCTCGTTCCCTCACTGGTTTAATTATATCTTGGGAGGGACGAAATTGTACCTAGTATTGCTATACAGTCCATGAACTGATCTGTTAAACTTTCGGAGAAAGCAAACAAATTTAAATTGCGTGCACCATAAAAGATTGGGCAAATGATTAAAAGTAGTAGATGATGGAAATAAAATTCAAGGTGAACACCTAAGTTGTTGGAGTTTTTCACAGATATATGTTTCTTTTTTTTTGTTATGCTTGAGACATATATTAGTGATGAGGGTGAAGATGATGTAGATGCATATATTGATGATGGAGTTGTCGCACCTGCCGTTGCGATAGATGACGAAGCTTATGATGATTTTTTCATTTAAGTATTCACAATTTTTCTTGAATGACGTTTGGATGTTCTTAGCTGATCAGCAGCATGCTTATGTTAAAATGTGCGTTTGTGTGTGAGCAGCAACTAGCTGGTTTGAATATTTGTGAAGGATTATTTTCTAGACTCCTAGCTAATAGCATGTCTAAATACTTGCGTGACTCATTTTTTAGATCAAATGCTCATGCTAGCTTTATTAGAAAGCGTAAGACAATCCAAGGAGGTTTACAACAGAAAACCCAAGCATGCAACGAGAAAAAGGTCCAGAGACAAGCACATACAGTGACCGAACTCGACATCGGACGCACACGCTAACATGACCGGACTCACACCGTGCGTCCGTTCAACACAGTGAAGCACACAGAGAATGACCGGACTCTGAGTTGCGGTGCGTCCATTCGTTCCATAGGCTGGCGTCCGACCGAAGGCAGGAGAAGGACAGCACGACACCGGACTCCTCCGAGCGTCCGGTCATCTACACCAGACGCGTCCGATGGCTCCAGGTGCTCTCTGTTCTCTTTCTGGAGGAGACCGGACGCTACAGAAGCGTCAGGAGAACCACATCGGCGCGTCCGGTCAAGGAAGTTCGAAGAGCACTAAATTTCTAACTGACTGACATCGGGGCCCGCATCTAAATTTCTTCCTCCCGTCCGTTCGCCGCGCAACCGCTCCGCTGATTTCCTAAACCCTAACCTCGCCGCGCACGCAGCGCCCAGCTCCGTCGTGCCCGCCTGCATCGCGCGCCACCACCCTTGCCCACGCGCGCGTCCTCACCCATCCTCGCGCCAAGCGCAGCGCCTGCTTCCACTCCACACAGCAAGACGCGCACTCACCTCGCCACCGCTGCATAATCAATCAAGGCCATTGCCGGAGTTCCCGTCACGGCCGTCATCTTCCTCCTCTCCGGCGACTCCGCTCAGTTAGAAAAGGTTGTTTATGCTATGCCTCACACATTTCAGTCTTTCTTGTCTGTCCTTGTGTACTGACAGCCTGTTGGATCTCGTTGGAGTGACTGATGCTTTCTTACTCTAATCTGTTTGATGCACCCATCATGCCCAATTTTAGTTGTGGCTAACTTATTTAGACTTATTAATTGAATTGACTGATTTGCCTAAATTGGTTTGTAACGCTAGAGCTCCAAAACCATGAAGTTCCCAACTCGTTAGGTCCAGGTTTAGAAAACTGCATTACGCTGTAATTCTATCGCTTAATATTCAGTATATATGACACTTGATTCTTAATGTGCGTATACACACTTTTTTTTTCTAATGCATGTCATTTTGACTTTTTCAGACGATCAACAAGCTGAATTGAATCATCTTTCGGTCTGAGTATTTCTTGTCGAGAGATAGTTGTGGCGCTTGGTCTTGCGGTGATTGTCGCGATGTGGGAGTATGTGTGGCGATTGACTCACTGGTGGGTTTCTATTGGCGATTGATCTTGTGCAAAGCAGATTTTTTGCTTGACAGTTTATGCATGCGGTTTGATCATCAGCTATGGCGCGAACAAAGAACCTTGGGGGTCCCGGTGATGACAGCGTCCCCCCCCCACCTCGAGGCAAGGGGAAACAGACGATGACGACCAAGGTTACCACCAAGAAGAAGAAGTGGTCGCGTTACGATATTGAGGCCGAGACGGCCATGGCGATGAGTACAGCGTCACCGAGAGAGCTGGCGAGGTGGCCATGGTAGCAGTCTCCGTATTGGAGAGAGTTTGTCACTTGCACAGAGACAGGGTCTAGAGCGAGTTGAGAGTTTTCACCATAGCCCTCGCGGCCCAGATGATAGCCCACAGAGAGAGTCCGAGGAGCAGGAGGCATAGCAGGAGGAGACAGCCGAGCCAGCAGAGCCCCGACGATGTCGCTCGTCTCGCACTCGCACTGAGGTGCAGCCGAGGCCTGAAGCTCAGAGACGTGGTTCCCGGGCCCCTCCTAGACACCGTGGACCACCACCAGTGCAGCGCCTTGACCTGAGAGCCGCCACTGCTCGTCAGGTTCAGCAGCTCTGCTTCATCGAGTTTGAGCAGTGGTTCCCGCCTCGGAGGGATGAGCGAGCTTCAGAGGGTTTCTACACAGTTCTTCAGGAGGACTTCTACACTGCCTTTGCTCTCAGTGGGGTGCTTTGAGATCTCACAGTGTGTCATATTAGGACATAGTTGCAGCTGCAGGCGAGCAGATTCATCCCTACCTCACCTACTCACCTGGGTTGGCTGACCTTATGGGATGGAATGGCAGTTATGTTGCAGAGTGGGTCAAACAATTCTATGCTTCTTTGTGGATTGACCCTGGTCACAGGTTCATTCACTTTGTTGTGGGAGGCCGTGACCACCGCCTTTACGGTAATCGTGCTCGGGAGATTCTGATGGTTCCAGATGACTCGATCAAGCTTCACCAGGTTTGCTATGGTCAGACAGCACCACCGAGACGCCCTCACGGCGGAGCAGTGCCACCGATAGGTCTTGTCCGCCCCTATTTTAGAGAGCCATTTGGTGAGGGCTCGAGACGCACACCAGGTGCACTTACTCCAGTGGCTCGAGTCCTCGATGCACTTATGAGGAGGACACTACTTCCGAGGGGTGGCTACCATGAGGGACTCACTCGCTTTCAGCTCTGGCTTATTCACCACCTAATCTCTCAAACACCGTTTGACATTTGGGATCTGATGCTCTATGAGATGGAGGACACCTTGGCAGAGGGCTTCAAGGGGCACCGACAGTTGCCTTACGCTCATTGGATCACGTTTTTGCTTCGTAAGGCCTGTCCAACTCTAGTACTGATTACGGAGGCACTTTTCTCCTACAATTTTTGTTGAACTTTTGAAAATCAATGTGTTTTTAACAATTTTTGTTTAACTTTTCGAATTCAACGTGTTTTTTAACAGTTTATACTTGTGCTTGATTAATACAGGTAATGGACTATTTATTTGGAGGCCTATGAGATTTGGAC